ACAATGCAGCTGCATAATTTATTCATGTCGCAATGCATGCTGGGAGCCATGGATGAGTTATGATTGGTGCACCATTGTTGAGAAAAAGTGCTTTATGGCACCTCTTATGATTCTACATGGCACCATTTGACAAAGTGCTATATAGCATCTGTAAAAATAGGTGCTAAATAGCACTAAAAGTGGTTCCCCTATGATTACAAGCCAAATAACCGCTTTTAGTGCTGTATAGCACCATTTTTTTTAGAGTGTAGCTTTTATAAGATCACACCAAATGAAGAGCCCAGAGTGTTTCTACAGACCATTAGCTTTGACTATGATGAAGTCTCCACTGAAACATTTTGTATAGTATTTTTTAATACAAACAAATAGTGAAAATGGATTTGGTCAAAGTTTAGATGAATTGTAGCTTGTGCAGCAGATGAGCTAAAAGCAAAGAGACAAAATGCTACAAACCTTTATGTGTGATGTCTCTGTGGTTCCTCACAGAAGGTTATTTAATCTGACAAAGAGACACTGAGTCATCATAAGCCTTAAACCCAGCATAGAGGGGTTCAGTGAATGTGGTGTTGAATGTGTGTAAGTGTGTGAGTGTGTGTGTGTCAGAGACACTGTAGAAGGACAGAGTGCCGGCCGACACGTCCACATACACTCCTACACTATTAGATGGGGGTGAAGGGGAAGCAATGTATGTGCTCTTATTATTGTGCCAGACATGGAATCCATTACCAGTGCAGAAAAGACTCCAGGAATTGTCACTGTATCCAAACCAAGAATCACTCGCTCCTTTCCTGTTGATTCCTTTATATGTCACTGCAACATCAGCCTTATGTACACTCCATTCAGCCTCCCAGTAACAGCGTCCAGTCAGACTCTCTTCACACAGAACCTGCTCATTGTTCTCAAATCTGTCTGGATGATCAGGATACAGCTGCTTCTCTTCCACTCGTGTCACCTTTCTATTGTCTTCAGAGAGGATGAGTTGAGTGTGTGCTGTGTTTGGATCCAGTGTGAGATCACAGGCATCTGAACACAAGAAGAGAGATTAGAACTACAATTTTACAGCTGTGTCTGTGTGTGTGTGTGTAAGAGAGAAAAGTCCTACATTTTTTCAGTCCTAGTCTGATTCTAAAATGGCCTCCATGATCCAAACTAGAAAGAGACAAATTCAAATGACAGATGATAAGCAGACTATTTTTCCCCCTATGTTACCGGAGTAGCAAATCAGTAAAAAGGGCTGTGGCCCAAAAAAAAAAAAATCCATAATACAGTGAAGATAAATTCAAGACAAAGTGACTAAACACTTACTTGAGTATCTGCAGTTTATAGTCTGGATCCTCCAGTTTGTGTTTGAGCAGCTGGACTCCTGATTGTCCTGGGTGATTGTAGCTCAGATCCAGCTCTCTCAGGTGTGAGGGGTTTGAACTCAGAGCTGAAGACAAATAACCACAGCCTTCCTCTGTCACCATACAGCCTGACAACCTACAAACACACAGTCAGACACACACACAAACACAAACACAAACACACAGGAGGTTAAATGAGACATTAAGAATGTAAGTAAAATAAGTACAGTGCATCCTGAAAGTATTCACAGCGCTTCACTTTTTCCACATTTTGTTGTTACAGCTTTAATCCAAAATTGATTAAATTCATTATATTCATAATGACAATGTGAAAGAAGTTTGCTTGAAATCTTTGCAAATTTATTAAAAAAAAGAAAAAAAAAATGGCATGTACATAAGTATTCACAGCATTTGCCATGACACTCAAAATTGAGCTCAGGTGCATCCTGTTTCCACTGATCATCCTTGAAATGTTTCTACAACTTGATTGGAGTCCAACTGTGGTAAATTCAGTCCAAGCCATGAAGTCCAGGGAATTGTCTGTAGACCTCCGAGACAGTATTGTATCGAGGCACAGATCTGGGAAAGGGTACAGAAATTTTTTTGCAGCATTGAAGGTTCAAAGTAGCATGTAGTCTCTGTTACCCTTAATGGAAGAAGTTTGAAACAACCAGGACTCTTCCTAGAGCGGGCCTCCTGGCCAAACTGAGCAATTGATGGAGAAGGGCTTTGGTTAGTGTGGTGACCAGAGGTGGACAATCCAGGGGTCAGAAAGTAAAAGTCCTGCCATATGTTTATTCCACCCATGAACTCAGCAGCTGATTTCACCAGAGGAGGAACCACGTCATTCCTTTCAAATCACAAGCAAGTCTCAAGTAAAATCCCAAGTCCTCAAAGAGTTAAAGTTAATGAGATAATTAAGTGACTAATAAATGATGATTGTGCATTAGTGATGAACACCTGCTGTTATTGAGAATTACAGAGGATCAGATGTTGATGTTTTATTGGTTAAAATGATGCCACCATCATGGAGATCAGTGTTTGCTTTAGTTTGGCTCTTACTGTAGTTAGGCTCTTACTTTTCTTTTGTATTTTTGAGGGCCTAAACATGCTCAAAAACTCACAAAAATTTGCACATGTGTCAGAGGTGGTGAAAATTTAAGGCTGATTATGGGTTTCAGAATTATGTGTGGAAAAATGGCTCAATTAAAAATTTCTGTAAATGGATCTGTAAAATTTCAACGAAGTGCTCCTCGAGCTACGTTTCACGTACATGTACGAAACTCGCTCGACACATGTAACACACCAATACCTACAAAAAAGTATCCAGGTTCAAAATCCAAAACCCAACACAAAATCAGTTATTTTTAATTTCCTGTATGATTTTTGTGCGGTTTTTGCCATTTTCAGGCTTCATACTTTAGCAAACTCCTCCTACAGTTTTAATCGGATCATCTTCAAATTTTCTAAGTGTAATCACAAGGCCTTTGCGATGCTAAATTGTGAAGATCTTGAGTTTTCTTCAAAGGGCATGTCCCTGGCGGCCTGACAAATTTTGATGTTTCGCCATGAAACAGGAAGTTGCTGTAACTCAGGCATGTAGAGTCCAATCTGACCCAAACTTAACATGCAACATGTTAGAAACATGGTAAAGCATGCTAGCAACACTTAGCTAATTTGCTAAAGCATGCTATTAACCCCTTAACTCACAAAGATCGGCGACGGCCTCAAATTATTGTTGTTTCATTTTCACAGCATGCTAAAACATCACACTCTTAAGGCCCTGATATACTTCCAACATAGTTCGTTTTCGTTCTTCGTTTGGGGGCAAAAAGAAGTTCGAAAAAGCTGAGCGACGGTATACTGTTTCCGAACTTTCCAACACCCCCGCGCTGCTGGAGGCGGGGTGTAGATTAATGTAAACATGTTCCGCGACGCTCGCGCGTATCCCTTTAACACAACAACGATGAAATTAAGAAGTGTAGGCAATCTAGGTGTGAGACGGGCCCCAAAAATCTGAATATTATAGACAAAAGAATAATGATTAGCAGCAGTTCAGAGTCAAGTATCATGTTTGCAATACAAAATAACCATCCCATTTCCATAATCAATCCTTTATGGGAAGTGTGAATGGCTCATAGTCTGAAAACTTTAGCATGATGTGGAAAAAAAATATTGGAGTCAGTTTGTTACTTTATTTTATTAGTGTTCATTTATTTTATTAAACTGGATAAATTCTTACACCTTTTTATATTTTATGTGGTGTCATGATTTACTTTTGATAAAAACAAAGGTTTATTGTTGTATGTTCGTTTGGCATTTCATTTATTGTATACACTTTAAATTCGCTTATTGAAAGAACAACAACAGCAGCAGC